CCTGTTCCCAACTTTTGCTTTCCAGTTGCCCATTATTATTAACGCATCTTGATTGCATGTTTGATCAATTTCTGACTGCAAAAGTTGGTAAAAATCTTCTATTTCCTCTTCTTTGGCTCCAGTTGTTGGTGCATATATTTGAATGATAGTGGTATTCACTGGACTTCCTTGTATGCGTATGGATATTATCCTCTCCCACCACATTTTTTTTCCAGGATAGATCTAGAAATGATTTTTTCAATTATGAAACCAACCCCGTTTTTTCTCACCTTTTCATCCCCAGCATGGTAAATCATATGATCATCTGATTCAAAATGTCCCATGCCAAGCTATCTCATTTCACCAATACCTAGTATGTCAATATTTATGCATTCCATTTCTTTCTTAACAATGTCCAATTTTCCTACATTTATGTATCACTAGTGTCTCTTTACAGCTGCTTGTCTTTCTCTGTGTTTCCATTTCTAAGATCTCAGTTTCAATTGTCATGTCTGTTAGCCCAAATGATAATCTAAGTGTGCTCTATTGTACATGGGGTTTTTGAAGGCCTGTATTTCAGAAGTGGATGGCCAATCCTTCTTCCTAGTCTGTCTCAATTTTAAAATATATATAATAGTATCTGACAGACAAGCATTCTACAGAAAAGAGTAGATGAATGGAATAGTTGGTGGTATTTAACTTCCTTAGAGTGGTGCCATCACTTGTGAAAATGGGAAGAACCATTTTAGGGCAAGAGTGAATTATTCTATACGTGTAGGAAGTGTATATATCGTCGGGCCGGCAATGTGTCAAGCTGTGGGAAATCTTGCATGTGGGTGAGACTCTCCAGGCTGGGAGCCCCCTTCTCAATCTCAGCGCAGGCCTGTGGGGCAAGGCTGCCCTTGAAGGGTGTCTAGCCGGCTCTCGGCGGCAGGGGGCGCGCTCGGACTGGGGGACGTGGAGCCGCAGGTCTGCAGGCTCTCGCGGGTCTGGGCTCTGAGTTCGTTAAGGGACCTGCCCGGGAAAGCTAGATAAAAATGGGGGTGATCGAGGGTCTTCCTAGGTCAGGCTGGTGCCTCCGGTCGGCAAAATGCTATCGAGAAGCTAATCCTTTTAGAGGCCCCGCTCCACGCCGCTATTCTGCCTTCATCGGCCGGCTGATCCGACCGAGAGGATCCGAGTCCTCCTGGGATTTATGTGGAGCTTGGAGCTCCGCACGGGCGTCACCCTGCAGAGGGGGGCCCTTAGTGGAAGGAGACGTCCGGGAATAGGCGGTGGCGAAGGACAAAGAGTGGCCAGATGACTAGTCTAATTGGGGTCCCCGAGGGGGGAGGGGAGAGCGGAAGGGGGAGGTCACTGTAGGAGACATCGTTCTTAGGATGGTGCAGACACTCTCCAAACTCCGTCTGGGGAGCCGCGAGGCAGGGACCAGGTAGATGGCACCTAGGACAGAGAAGTCGGTGACTCGACCACGCCTGGACCGAGGTCGGGGATCCTGGCAGGGGCAGGCGGCGCCTGGACTTGGGATGCGGGGGCCGGGGAGCAAGGGAGCCGGGACTGCCGCGGTGCATGGAGGGAGGATCTCCCTGACTTGGGCACCCACGAGCCAGAACCCCAGCTTGGAGGGTAAGTTGTGATCATGCAGCCCGCTGCGGGAGAGCGGAACGCGGGAGCTGAGCTGGAGCGCTTGGAGGATCGTGGTGCAGGCAGGGAAACCTGGGGAGCGCTGCGTCGCGGACACAAGGATCCAGCTCTGGGGCCTAGCCCCAGGGTGGGGCTCCGGAGAGAGGATGAAGCAACACCTCAGGGGGTTCCCGCCCGGCTCGGACTCCAGTCTAAGGCGGCAGTGCCGAGCCACAGCCCGTAGCTAACTACCCTCTGGGCCCCCCCCAGGTTTCTTGTTTGTCTCCTAGTCCGGCCGGAACCGGCTTCTGCTCGCCGCCGAGCGGGCGGGTAACTGCTGATTGGCCAATGTCTGTTTCCAGCTCCTCCTCAGCCAATCAGCATGACGCTGTGTTTTCATCTTAGGGTCAGAATAAAAGGGCTGGAATAAAAGGGAGCAGAAAAAGCGCCGGGCGGGCCCGATACACACGAGCAAGAGTCTGGTAAGTTGGACCCCGGGATTTGGGCTCCTAGTGAGGGCGCGGGGGCATTACTAGCACGAGACAGACGTAGAGAGATGTATAAATATGAGAGGAGTAAGATGAGATGGATGAGGAACCACCAGTGGAGAGATGACGAACAGACAAGGGAACTAGGGAATGGAAGGGCAGGGATCGGCTTCCATGGAAACTGGTTGAATGCTGACTTAAAGGATCGGGATAGAGGGTCGTGCCGGTAGCTCGCGCCGGCGGTTTGAACCGGCTTCGCCTTTCCCATGCGGGGTTCGCGTGGCCGTAGCGCCTAGCGACCTAGACAGAGGCCAATGGGGCGTCAGTTCCTGTGCCGTTAGGCCAATGAGCAGGCCGTGGGCGGGCCTTTTTGGAGCTCCGTGCGATGATCTTATGGTTGAAAGAACCATCTCTGGGGAAGGGTCTCTAGTCCGGGCGGGAGGAAATTTCTCAGTGCCCCAGGGAGTGGCAGTTCTCAGGTATACCCACCCTGATCTCGAGCTCCTTTCGTGGCGGCCCCCAAGCTGTGTCATCCCTGCAGGGGGCCAGGGCTAGTTCCAAGTCCCTGAGCATGCGTTAATCTCTTCCTGCTTCCATGCCTCAGTTTACCTGTGCGCCCTGCAGGTCTGGGCGGCTCTAACATAGCCGACGGCAGGGGTGAGAGCCAGTCTGGGGTGGCCGAGGTCAGGGCAGGGTAAGGGCTTACTTCCTTCTCCGCGCGCACCTGCAGTCCTGGCTGCGCTGGGGTGACAGCCCCGCGCCCTCCGGCGGAGGCTGGGCGGACGCACAGCGGGGCCGGGCTGGGCGCTGACGCTGAGTTCTGTGCGCAGGTGGCTGCGGAGCCGGAGACGGAGCAGGGCCACCGCGCTGTGCTGCGCCGCGCCGCGCCATGGCGCCCACACTTGCCACTGCCCATCGGCGCCGCTGGTGGATGGCCTGCACCGCCGTGCTGGAAAACCTCCTCTTCTCGGCAGTCCTCCTGGGCTGGGGCTCGCTGCTTATCATGCTCAAGTCGGAGGGCTTTTACTCCTACCTGTGTACTGAGCCAGGTGAGAGATGGCCCCTAGGGGCTCGGGGTTGGGGGATGGAGGGTGGAGGAGTGGTTCCTGGAGTAGGGGGTTTGGGGAGGGATCCGGATGGCTGCGAAGATCTCCCCAGCAGTGCCACCTCCCAACGTTATGCCTCCCAGGTGGCAAAAATGCACATTTGATACTCACCCAGCACTGCTCAGTACATGTTTTCCACCCCATTTTGTGGATGAAGAAACTGAGGCTCAGAGAAATAGGACACGAAGCTGGGGAGGGGGCGTCTGTGAAAGACCCAGAAGCCCAAAGTCAAGTCCAAGGTTCTTTTCACTAGGCAAGAACATAGCTAGATTCCCCCACACCTTACTCAAATACCTTACTAGAAGCAGGCCCACGGTAAACATGCTGCTGGCCTGATTCTAGAAGTCTGTAGGTTTTAAGAAAGAGGAACTCCGAATTCAGTGGCTGGCTGCAGCAGGAGAAAGGAAGTGGTTTTCCCTCCACCCCAACAGGGTGCATCTAGACTCTAGATGTTTTTCAATCAGGCCCTTATGGAGTCTCTTCAGGGGCGGATACAGTTTCTTGTATATTTTTTTTGCTGCTTTTTGATTCTCCAAAGGACATTTCCTCCCAAAGGCAGTGAGAACACCTCAGCAGTTTCCCACCCCACCCCTCTCTCCTATGGGGGTGAAGGAAGGAAGAAGATGGGCGTTTGTGAAAATGTTTGTTATAGGTCTGTCCCTTCCCTTTGCCACACCATTGATGTTGCTAAAGGCAGGCCTGTAGAGATATCTATATATCTGTCTATATGGGCTATGCCCTCACACCTTTGCTCCTGCCCCTCACCACTTTGAAGGGTTCTGAGTGTTCCAGGTCTGTATTCAGCACACCAGTAGAGCTCAAGCAGCTCCTAACCTTTACCCCTCTTTTTAGACAGCCTTCCCCCACCCCATTTCCTATGCTGAGTTCACTGTTTGGTGTTTTCATCTTGGAGCTCTGGCGACATAGTCTTAACGACTTGTGCTCCTAACCTAAAGCAGCTCATCTGGTAGATTGAGTCCACCAGTAGCTTCATGAGAGAAAGATCAGCAATCTCCTTCCATGCAATTTACAGCCTTGGAAACCTGCTGGAAGGTCAGTGAGCGATTTATGAATTACATATGGGTGGGGACACCATCACTTTTCTAGGTTTTGGCTCACTACAGGTTGTGTTCGAACTGACTTGCTGACTATCCATTGGATTTCTGAGGTTGAAAATGGCAAAGGAGATTGCCCATCTTTCTCCCTTGGAGCCCCTGGTGGATTTGAACCACCAGAGAGGTACAGCCCTTGAGTTAGAAGCACAACTCCCTATGGACTTTGCCACCAGAGCTCCTTAAAGTAACTTGGATAGGAAATCTTTCCCTCTGTCTTCTCCTCATCCACAACAGTCGCTTCTGTGTATCAGGTGAACTCATGTTCACTCTCTCCCCAAAGCCTTTGTCTTATCCTCTCTGCTGGACTTGATCCCTGAGTCACCACCAACGTACTTTTTTTTACTTCTGGAGTTCTTACTTTAGGGGAAGAGCCAGCTTTTGGACCAGCTCATGCTGCCTGTTAGCCTGTGTAAAGTCCTCCTCCCTTGTTCCTTTCTCTCATCTGCTCAAGGAGATTCCCGAGTGTCTCGTTTCTAGGGAAACAGGCTGAGAGGTTAAGGGCAGGAGAAAGGGAGAGGATAAGGAGCATGCCATGCCGGGGAGAGGGCAGAAAGTATGAAGGTATATAATTTATAACCTTTAGCCTTTAGCCACTCAAAGGTATTTCCTAATAGCCTAAGGGTTCTTGGCAGGCCTTTTTCCACATCAGCAAGAAATCCTGAGAGATGAGAGAGTCAGACCTTGTTCCCTGAAGAAGCCTTCTGCTTTGCCTGAAGGATGTTAGATTAATGACTTCTGAAAGAAACTGGTTGGAGTGCTTAGCTTAGCCCTTGCTCTCTCTCCTTATCTCCTCCTTTCTAAAGACCCTTCCAGCTTTCTTTCCTGACAGACTTTCAGGCTGAACCCATTTTTAAAAAACAACAAAAAAAACCACTCCAAACCTGTTGCTATCAGTTATTGTCTAGTCATGGAAACTGCAGGTGTGTCAGGATAGAATTGCCCTAGTGTTCTCCAGGTTGGTACCTCTGAGAAGGACATGGCCAGGTGTTTGTTGTGCGAGAAAGAAATCTGAACCACCAGACCTTTCAGTTAGTACACATACCCAGGGATACCTTCACCCTGAACAGAGGCTAGGTTTGTTGGGTATTGAAAAAAAAAACAACAAAACACACAACCCACAACAGAAAAACCAAACAAACGAACAAACAAGAAACATTAGCATCCCCAAATGAAGCTTTAATAATTTATCCAGAGCAGAGAGCTATTATATATTTGTAAAAGTTTATTTCTATTTTATATTGATTTGGATACAAAATTCATATATATGGTGTTTTATTCGTATAGAGCTACTATATTTTGTTGTTGTTTTTTTTTTACCCAGGAGATTCTGGGGTCTCCTCCTGAGTTGTCCATTGGTTTATTTGATAAGATTAGCAGCCTGTGCTTGGTCACTCGTTCCAGCCTTGGTATCTGCCTTTGTGTAAGTGGGAGGAATCCAAGCCCCATATGGAGTGAGTGCTGACTCGGAATGGGTGCTGACTCGGTGCTGAGTTGGTGTTTAAGCCTTGAGGGGGTTGATGGAGCTGTCCTGTAAACTTAAAGTGAAAGGTCAGGGTTGTGAGTTGAACATCAACTTCTTATCACGTGCCTTTGCTCCCTGCCTTTGCTCCCTTCTTTGATTTTAGTTTTCCAGATTATCTGTCAACGTGCTGACCCAGAGGCCTGGTGGAAAGGCCTGCTGATTCCACATACTTTATCTGTCCATCCTGCTCCTTGCTTCTTGGAGTCCATGTACTCTGTTGTCTTTTGCCGCAGAAATCCTGGTATCTTTGCCTGACAGGGAGTGCTAGGCAGACGTGGGGTCAAGGTTTCTGCTTAGGCCTCACATTTTCAAACTGAGTGGATGACTGGCTTGCCCAGAAGCAGTTAAGCCCATTTATTGAATGTATTGAATTTAACATGGGAAAGGCAGACCAGACAGCAGCTGATTGAGATGCAAATTTGTCAGCTTTTCATTGCTTCAAGGGCTGATGCTGTGATTTGTTTTCTGAAGAAAATTTGCCTGAACCTGTTGAAAGGTTCATCTTTCTCAGGACACCGCCAGAATCTGGTCCCAGATCCATTGTTGGGTTCTGGCAGGGTGAGGTGGAGGGAGAGAGTTTTGTTGCCACACAGTGTGTTTGCCCTGTTCACAGAGTCAGGAGAGTGGGGAGCTGGGCATTTGATGAACTTTGCATGTTGTCCACTCAGTATCAGCTATGAGACTCTCCCCATCTCCCCCTGGGAGACTGAGCAGGAGTGGGTTCCCAGCCTGGGAAGAGTCGGCCTTTCCCAGGCCTGCATCCTTTTGGCCCCAGGGATCAGACCTCTTCATCTTCTCTGTCATCAAGTGGCCTCTTGGAAAAGATCAGCTCAGGAGCTTGGTGATACCTGTGGATGTTTCTTTACTCTTTTCTTTTAATCTGTTGTTGGTTGTTAGTTGCTGCTGATAATGACTTTAACTCGTGATAATCTTGTGCACAAGATAAAACTTTGCCCTGTCCTGACCCTCCTCAGGATCAGGACTGGTGGTGAACTTGAGGCCACGATTGTGGCCACTCTATTTTGAGTGCCTTTCAACCTACAGACTCCTCTTCTAGCGCTGCGTGAGACAATATCTTGCTTTCATTTGCTGCTTTTAAGAAATAGAGCTCTAATGGCACAGTAGGAAGGCAGTTGTGTTTCTAACCTAAACTCTCTGAAGGTTCAAATCCACAAGCAACTCGGAGACTCACATGCGATTTGCAGCCTTGGAAACCAATAGAGAGTTAGCTATGGGTTGGGTCCTACTGGACAGCAGGGCAAGTTGAGTTTGAGTAGTTTTAGGAAGTACAGCCAGCACCTGGCCATTCTTCTTTGTCTTATTCTGGAATCCTGTCCTCCACGGTTGACCTTGCTAGTATTTGAAATACCAGGGGTTTGCAGAAATGGAAATAAAATCCAATCCTCACATTTATATGGGAGGGAAAGGAGCTCTGAATAGCCAAAGCACACTTGAAGAATAAAGAAGGAAGACTCCTGAGGGAGGGGGAAGGAAGAAGGGAAAGAAAATATGCAACAATGAATAAAAATTAAAACAAGGAGGACTCACACTTCCTGAAATACTGGCTGTATAGCTTTTAATGGTGACACACTCAGGCCACCAAAGTATGACAGATAGTCAGATGTGCTGCACTGGGGATGCTGAGCACACCTGGCCCTCAGGGACCTGCCAGCCCCACAGACCTGGGTCACTCCAGGTAGTGGTCGGGGCTCCACAAGAGTCTAGTGTCCAGAACCGCCACAATAGGGGCATCTGGTTGGGATTGCGTAGGGAGGGCCTCTCTGATGTTCAGGGGAGTGAGAAGGGATGGATCGAGGGAAGAGGGATGAGAAGGCCAGGAGGGGTGACTCCAGTGGCTGCAGACACTGGAGAGGTGGAAAGGGCCCGGGGCCGGCAGGGCCTGGAAAGCCATGTGGGGAGATTGGTTATTATCCTCAGACCAGGAGGAATCCTTAGAGACAGGGGAGAGCCACATTCAGATATAGCTTGAGAGACGTGGGAGTTGCTGAGTGATTGGCTCATGCCAGAGACCCTGGGTGGTGCAGAGGTTAAAGTGTGCAACTGCTCATCAGAAAGTTGGCTGATGAACCCACTCAGAGGTGCCTCAGAAGACAGAGCTGACCTGTCTCTGAAAGGCCCTGGTCTTGAAAAGCCTGGTAACAGTACTATCCTGCTTGGAATTGGGTTTGGTTTTTTGTTTATTTGCCCACACACTAACTAGACTTAGGGTGGGGATTATAAAGGCCAGAGGTCTAGCTTCAGGCAGACCCAGTGGGTGCTGTAGTCACTGTGCCTCAGGGCTGGGAGGGTCATACATGAACCAAAGCCAAAGGTATCTTGGGGTCCCTGGGAGGGGAAGGGGCTATTGGTAAGTAATGGGGCAGAGCTGGGCCTGTCCCTCATCAGTGTGGCCCAGGCTACAGGTGTGGACATGAGCCATTGACCACTGCTCTATGCAGGAGGGCCTCCCTTTTATAGCCCCTCCCACACCCACAGGCTAGTGGTTTACAGCTTCTGAAAGTCCATCCTATCACTTTTGTTGTTGTGAATATGTCAATTGACACTTTCACTCCACTTTATTTATAAAGAAAAAGAATTTTGAAACTGGGTGAGGTCCCCAGCCTGTCACAGAGGGGAACTGGTCTGAGGCTCTGCTTCCAGCCATATGCCGCCTTCTTTACATGTCATGACCTTCTTTCCCTCCCCCATGTCAATAGGCCCCATCTGCCTTCTGGTGTTCCCTGCAGCTCTGTATAGCTGGGGTTGGCTTCCAGAGACTGGGGGGGGGGAAGGGGGGGCCTGGGGCAAGCTCATTCTCCTTGACCAGTACTTAAGGCCACCTGGTATTGTCCCGCACACTGCGGACTTCTGCTGTCTTCATTCTTAGCATTTTCATGCTGAAACATACCACACAGTAGCAGACTGGCCCCCAACCTAGGCCATACGGCATCAGGTCAGCTTGAAGGTTACAGACATGTGTTTGGGGACTCATGGCCTGGATCCAAGCCCCAGCTTCCTGTGTATCATCTCTGAGACCTCAGGCAAGTGTCTCACCTGCTCTGAGCCTCCTGCATCATTGTGTGGGCGGCTAGGGGAAAGGTGGGCTATAGGCGAAGCACTGAGGAGAGCAGTGAACGAAGGCAGGGACCAGTACGCATCCGGAACTCAGTCAGCATCAGTGGGCACAGGCCTGCTGTGACCATGAGGAGGCTCAGGGCCCAGGAGGACCCTCAGACTGTCTACATCCTGTCACTTGTTTGCGCCTGGGCTGAGACTGACCTTTCACCCACATCTCCCCTGCTGGACTGAGATGCTGCTTCCTGTTGCCGGATAGACTAAAGGTTGGAGAGAGGCAGGCGATCCTGGGGCTAGGACCAGCAGCAGGGCAGTGACCCTGTCTCCTGACGGGTCAGGATGTAACCACTCAGAAGGGGGGCTACTCAGGAGTTTAGAGCGGCCCCAGCCAGGTACCTTACCCAGGCTTCCTAAGGCATCATCAGACAAGTTTCCTGGAGGGTCTTCACTCCCTGTATTTCCCTGGAGCAGTGGGCGACCAGAAGGGGAACCCCCTCTTTGACCCAGGGAGACTCCCCACCCAAATGGGCTCCACCCCCGCACCCCTGCCCCCCCTTCCTCTTTGTGCTCTGTGTGTGTTTGAGTCCTCTGTGATGAGGCGAACAGAGCAGGACATTGTTCTCCTTCCCTGCCTGGGTCTGCCCCTGACAGCTGTGCCCCTGTTCTCACACTCCCGCCACACCAAACCCTCGCCCGTCTTCTCGTTTCACCTTCATGGGCAGCGCTGGCCACTCTGACTGCTCACAGTGGAGGCATCTGTTTAATAAACAGGTGCAGGTGACAACAGGTATGGTTTGGACAGGAATAGGGCTGAGCTCTAGTTGGAGCCAGTGTTTGTTGATTGTGTCTTTTCGGGCTCACAGGGGCCTAGGTGGGAGCAGAGAGGAGGAGCAGCCCAGTGGACCATGTTGGGGCATCTGTGGTTATTCACATAGGCGCTGCAAAGCTCTGGGCACGCTCGAGCTTTCCCTCCAGGAGCAAGGGACACTTACTCATACTGCTCAACCGGAAGACAAGTGTGACAACTAGGTGCTTCCTGCCTGCCTTCTCCAGCTCATCTCATGGTGGACGTCACTCCCCAGGGGGCAGAGGGCCAGGTGGCCTCCTTGACAGAGACTTTTTTTTTTTAAAAAAGAGTGAAGGCTGGTGGCCTAAAGTGTAAGGTCCCTGCTTCTGTGTGTAGTGACTCCAGAGTGAATGAAGGACAGATAACCTGCCCCCCATGACCTCTCTCCTGGTGAGCACCTCCCCCTGCCTTGTCTAGTTACACAAGCGACCAGATCTCTAAGCAATTGAAGGCATTGCCACCCGGTCCCCACCTCTACCAGTTGAAGGACATTGCCTTAGGTACAGTGCTCACTCACTCATTACTATCCAGTTGGAACCCGCTCATCTCTCTGCCTCCAGCAGGTTTCCAAGGCTGTAAATCACGTGGGAGGAGAGAGCTGTTGGTAGATTTGAATTGCTGGAGAGATGTGGCCTTTGCTTTAGTTGTTCAGCTCCCTTACAGACTAGATGACCAGTGCTCCCCCTTGGGTACATGGCCTTGGAATTTTATCTTCTCTCGCTCTCTCCCTGAGTGAAGTCACAGATTTAGGGGCTCGGCTGTGGTTGCTCTGTGGGAGAGTTGTGTGGGCGCCCCGGGGTCTCTGTATAGACAAGGCAACGTCACTCTCTCCACTCTGCCTCCCTGATGGCACCACTCCAGGCCCTGAGGATTTCGTGTCCTCCTGGACAGTGACTGCTCTGGACAGACATGGCCACAGGCAGGTCTCATAGACCAGCCCCTGAGGTGTCCCCTACGCTCATCAGCTCCTGCCCTGTCTGGCTTGGTTTTCACCAGTCCTCACGCCAACTTGGAAGTGGCCCTTGCTGTGCCAAGTCTCCATCCCCCACTCCAGGGCCAGTTCCTGTTGCTGCTGGCAGAGCTGACACCCGAAACCAGCTCCAACCTGTGAAGCGCAATCCTTTCCGGAAGCCACCTGGAGTAGAGGAGCTGCTAAGTGACAGCCCCGAACTGAAGCTGCATGAGTTTGAGGACTCTGTTTGCCATGTGGTTAGACTAGTCATCCATGCGGCAGGACCTTTTTATGTGTTTTTTTTAAAAAAACAAACCCCACAACCTAAAGGAAGTGAGGTTTCAGGTGATTACTGTGGTGGCTGTAATCTCCCTACATCTCTACCATCTACAACTTGGTTCCACATGTCCTGTACCTTTTTTTCTCTTGATCCTTTTGGCCATTATGATTAGTTCTGCTGTTTTCACTGGCTCAGTGGACAAGTGCTGTGGGCCAGGGCCTAGGTAAAGTGCTGAGGACACAAATAACGAGAATGTAGCTCTTGTCCTTAAGGACTCACCAGTCAGTAGGCGAAGTCGCTCATGTTGCTACCAAACACACAGATTTACAGAGCTGTGTTCCCGGGTGCTACACCTGGCTGTGCTGCCAGCCAGTCTCACCATTGTCCCCATCTCAAGGCTCTTGTAATAGTAATAATAATAATATAGTAATAGTAGTATTTACTGAACTTGGTCTATACCTGTAAATTTCCAGATCTTTATGTAGATTGTCTCATTTATCATCCCTGAAACTCCAAGAGGTAGATCCTATTATTATGCCCATTTTACAGATAAGAAAATTGAAGCAGAGAGAAAATGAGGCAATTCTATTAAGACTACACAAGTAGGAAGTGGAGGAAGCAACTTTGGAACTAGAGGCTGGGACCCAGCTCCACACCCAAGTCCACAGGCCCCCAGCAGGGCTTGGTGCGCAGTGGTTGTCTAGGGGATGATTCATGCCGAGTGCACCCTTTCCTGTGACCTTGGGGCAGCCCTTGGAGGCCTAGGCTTTGCACACCTCAGCTTTATGGTCCCTGGCACGAGAGGGCCACAGTCGGGAGGTGCAGTTATCTGAAGAGAAGTATTTCCCTGCCTATCCCAGGGTGACCTCACATCTAATCAGAGGCAGCTCCTGTGCTGCAGGATTAGTCAGCATCTCTTAACTAGCAGCCCAGCCACGAGAGTGTTCCTCAGCTGAGCTGCCAGCTGCGCTCTGCCCTCCCGCTCGCAGCAGTTTTTCCTCCTCTTTTTCTGTTGTCATGGCACTGGGTGGACTTTGGAGGGGGCCAGGATTGCAACATCACCCAGGGAGGCCCGGCACCTGATGGGTCCTGGGTGTGACTACAGGGAGCAGCTCTGCAAGGATCCCTGTGAGAAAAACAAGCAGGCTGCACACTGAGCTACTAAAAACAGAAGCAAAAGCAGTATCTAGATGGCTTCTAAGGCATGTGGGTGGGGAGGCAGTCAATGAAGTGAAGTTACTGGATACTGTGTGTTGGAGAACTGGATTTGACTGGGTAAGAGGGAAGAGGGCCCTCAACTCTTCCACAGTCAGGAAGACACAGGGCACAGTAGCGAAACCAGTACTTTGTCCTTCCTGAGTGGATAAGGTTCTCCATCCATCCTGTTTGTGTGGACACAGCCAAGGATGAGCATCTAGCTGACCTGGACTGCAGAGCCAAGGCTAGACTCTGAGGGCTACTATTCTAGGGTGTGGGTTACTTTTGCAGTGTAACACCCACCCTGGGACTCAAGAATAGCTACACAAAGCCCCTGAAATTGTGGGACAGATTTTGGTGTGATTCTTGGAAAGCAGAGTACAGCTTGCTTTCTCTCTCTTTTTTTTCTTTCTCTTTTTTAAAAAAACCTTGTTTTGTTGTTGTAAAAAGATAGGTAATTCAATATTTTCCCAATAAAACACCAGGTATACAATTTAGTGACGTCAGTGGCATTAATAATTTTAGTACAGTTCCTTCCCCCAGTAAAGGGTCTGTGACCCCATGGAAGTTAAGAAGCTCTGCTTTATCGCTATGGTGGTGGTGGCAGGGGAGAGGCTTGGACACTCATGCCTGTCGTGGATCAGTCTGAGTTCTCAGGGTGCACGCCTGATCCTGACCTTCCTGGTGGGGTGACTCTGAATCTGACCTGTGAGGACCTCTGCCATGATGCCAGAGTCATGTTTGTCTTCCTCTTCACACACAGAGAATGTCACCAACAGCACTGTGGGGGGCACAGCAGAGCCAGATCATGAGGAGGTGACGTGGATGAACGGCTGGCTCAGCTGCAAGGCCCAGGACGAGATGCTGAACCTGGCATTCACTGTGGGCTCCTTCCTGCTCAGTGCCATCACCCTGCCCCTGGGCATCGTCATGGACAAGTACGGCCCGAGGAAGCTCCGGCTGCTGGGCAGGTGAGTGTGTGCCCGTTCCTGGGTGCAGGGTGGGGCACATGGGCCCTCTGGGATGAGTTTTCCATTGTAAGAATCCAGGCACCAGCTATCAGTACACTATGGTGCTCCCAAATACCCACCCAGTGTGGGGTTCCCATCCCACCTGTTCATGAATCAGTGGGTTCTAGGATCCCTATCAGGTCCTGATAACGGTTATAGAAAAAGGCAGACACCTTGAGCCCTACGTGTGAGGATCTGGAGCTGTTTGTCATTAAGAACACAGGTTTCCAAAGCCCTTGTCTTTTTTAACTATTAGAAAATATGTAGCCCAATGTTTGCCAGTTCAATGTTTTTTCACATGCACAAGCCACTTGACAATTCTACCAGTCATGTTGTGCAACTACCACCAATATCTGTTCCTACTTTGACTTTACATCTCCATCACAGAAAAGAAAATATTTCAAACACGTACTTTCCATGTAAATGTTGTTGTTGTGTGCCGTCAAGTCAGAACCGACTCATAACTGACCATGTAGTGGGTTTTCAGAGGTAGTAAATCGCATGGGAGATTGCCCATCCTTCTCCTGTGGAGCTGCTGGTGGATTCGAACCATGTGCCTTTAGGATTGCAATGCAGCTTCTTACCACTGTTGTTGTTAAGTGCCGTCGAGTCAGAGATGACTCATAGCAACCCTGTGAATGAAAGACCTGAACCACTAGGTATGTTAAATTATGAATTGTGCATACTCATAAGTCTTAATATTTTATAATACATAAGCAAATATTTAAGCAAGAGTGGATGAAATTTTTGAAGTGACAAAGTAGAAGCCTTAATATTTGCCCTGCCCACCCAGTGGAGCATCTTGTGCATCTTATCAAGTATCTGCCCCAGGTCTACACAGCTGTGGTCCACCAGGCCCAGGGTCCCTTTACCGAGCAGCAAGTCCCCTCGAGGCCAGCTCAGTTGCCATTAGCATTGATCATCCTCCAAATCTGCAGTGAGCGAGACCCCTGTCTGTGAAGAGAAAGGGTGGGATAGGTTTTAATCTTTGGAGCTGAAGACGGCAGAGCCCAGTGGAGGGGCTTGTAGGGCAGCTGGTCGTCTGTACCCAATGGGGCTCTGTCATCCCTGGCTGAGTTGACAGAGGGGCCTGGGGAATGAGGGGTACCCTCTCTAAAAGGAGTGGTGCCCCTCTGAGAGTGGGAGGGACAGCACAGTGTGATGTTTATGAGATCAAGCTTTAGAGTTTGAATTCCAACTTAGCCACTTCCTGTGTAGGAGATGTTGGAGAAATTAATCCTTCCAAGTTAGAGTTTTCTCATCAGTAAAATGGGGCCAATTCGACTACATAGAATTGTATTTCTGTTAAATGAGATAAATGTATGTGAATGTTCTTTAACTCTCTGATGTACATGGAATGCTCCAAAGGGACAACAACTAGTGACACATGACCTCTGCTTGCTTTCAGTGCCTGCTTTGCCGTCTCCTGCTTGTTGATTGCATATGGAGCAAGTAACCCAAACTGTGAGTACTCTCTCCACCCAGTTGGGGCCTGGGAGGGTTGCCCAGCGATGTTCCCTGGCTCACTTGGTCTTGGAAGTGGAAGCCATGCCTGGGCTGGTACTCACTGTTCAAGTCAGAAGAGATCCTGTTAGACTTCTGCCCAGTTATAATCTTAAATGGGTAGTTGAGTAAGAGAGCAGCTGGTTCCCAACAGATGGCCAAGTAAAGCTCCTGGGGTGTATGAAGCTCCCCTCTATCTACCAAGCCAAGCTTGCCTGTGATGGCCTCATTGATGCCACCTTAAGGGGTGAGCTCTCAGAGGTGGACTGGCTGCAGGGGTGTCCTCAGTGTGTCCAGGAAGCATTAACCACATCCTCTTGCAGCAGCACAACCAAGGATTTAAAGAAGCCATCTGATTTCTTCCGTAGGCCCCAAACCTGCTGAGGGGAAGCTGTTGATTTAAAAAAAAAAAACTAACCAAAATAGGATTTGAGTTTCACCAGAGTCCTGGCTGCACTCCTCTGCTGAATTTCAGATACCTGGTATTTTTGGTTTGAACCAGGCAGCTTCTTTAAATTTCTTGCTTGCTGCTGGGGTTGGTAGACAAGGATGATGAGAATGCACCTTTACAAGAGCCCAAGCTCTGTGAAATAGGCAGGAGGAGGGTGAGGAAGAGTCTGTTCCTCCTCGGTCGTCAGGTGCTGATTCCAATAACCTGATATTCAGAGAATATATTATTGCTATACTTCTATTATTCAGATAGGATGAGTATCTGAAATTCAGTCAGCTTTCAGTGGGTGCCTGTTCCATTTGGGACATGGACAGAGATGAGCTTCAGGGAGCCCCAGGCTCGCTCAGAGGTAGTGGGGTGGCCCGTCATGAGCCTTCTGTCTCCCCACAGCTCTCTCTGTGCTCATCTTCATCTCCCTGGCTCTGAATGGATTTGGTGGGATGTGCATGACCTTCACCTCATTAACAGTAAGTGTTGATTTTTCTTCAGAAATTCATAGCTCGGTAGTCTGCCTGTGAAATAGAGGCTGGTTTTGTTGACTTTCATTTATCTCCTTGCCTTCCGATTCTGTATGCCTGAGCATCCCAGGAGGCTGAGGGGCTTGTAGTGATGTGGACTGGCAATAAAATCATTGTGACACCCCAGGCTGGGGGTGCACGGCTATGGGAGCAGCACATCCCTTCCCAAAGTCAGTCAGCTCCTGAAGAAACCGGTTCACTAGCTGCTGCTGGGGAAGGAGAGGCTCGGGGGTGGGGGTGAAGAGTGTGGGGAGGGGGGGAGATAGCTGCCACCAACTTTGTTTTCTCTTGTTGTCCATGACAGCCATCACCAGGGTCTCCAGGAACTCAGGCTGACAAAGCAACCTAAAAACAGGTTTGGGGAACTCCTTGGAGTCACCCCGGTACTTAACCTTTGCCTTTGTTCAGAATGAATGGGAGAAACTCAAGGGAGGGCATGTGGTGCCTCTGGTTGGTGTTGTGAATACCAGGGCACAGAGAGTACTTCTGGAAAGGGAGACAGTTTTTCAGGGTGCCGAGCACCCCCTGAATGGGAGCACCAGGACGCCTCCAAATGCTATTCATTTTGAGGTGGGAGAGGCTGAAAGGAGGTGTAGGTTTAAAACCTGAAAATTTGAGTTGCCAGCATCTCAGGGAGTGTTTTGCCTGCAGGCTGTGAGCCTAAGGCCAGGCTTGAAAATCCAATAAGGAGCAGTTCTACCTTCACCATAAATTAGAATTGCCTGGTTTGCAGCTGTGGGTTTGGTTTTGGATATTGTGATTCAGGTGAAAGTTTATAGGACCAGGCCATTTCCCGTAAGCACTTTTCATTTTTGTTCTAGACATGAATTGTAGTCCTCTCTAGTCAGTCCGCTCACTTTCCCCATTTCCTCCCTAGGTTCCCTGTTTCCATTCACCCATCTTCCCTGCCCCTTCTGGCCTTCTGAGCTTTGTTTTTGGGGAAATGCTGCCTTGTGGATGCTGTCTGGTTGATCCTAACAGGGAGCAAAGCACCTTCCTCATGCCGCCGCACTCTCTAGGCCTCTGGCTGAAGGAGATCTTGGGGAGGAGGTCCAATTCCATGTTCGAAGCCAGTATAGGGTTCTAATTCTGGGAGTTCCACAAGTTTCTGTAAAACCCGAAGGTCTGGTTTTTTTTCTTGGTAGAATTTTGAATTTTGTTGTGTCTCTTTCTTCCATTCTGCCAAGGGCCTTCTCTTGTAATCCTAATCAGTTCTAGCCCCTGGACACAATCTAGTTCTCATGTCAGGCCAGCAGAAGCTGTGGCTTCCACAGTCCCTTAGTTCTCTGGACTAATTGTTTTCTTGAATCTTTTATTTTTTTTTCACACCTTTTTGCTCCTGATGGGAAGGAGGCTTATAGTTGTGTCTGAGATGGTCACTTGCAAGATTTTAAGATTCCAATTGCTACTCATCAAAGTAGGATGTAGAACATTGTCTTTATGGACTGTGTGCTGCCAGTTGACTTAAATGTCCCCTGATTCTCTAGCCTTCGAGCCCAGTGACTCAGTCCCTCAAAGTATTCGGTTATGGCTAAGAGTATGTGTAAGTCTGCCTCTGTGTACACTAGTCTATACCTGGGTATATTTGAAACCCATACAGTTTCATGTGTAGAGACATTATCTTCCAGTGTATGCTTGTGAGTGTACTCCCATGAACCATCCCACATCTGTTCAGCTTGCATATCTACCAATGTATCCAATGGTTGTTTATGACAGGGATTGTAGGACTATGTATGTAATAGCATATACTCTTTATATGCTATTGTCTTTTACCCTTTTATACCTCCTGAAGTCTGTCTTTGCCTCGGTCATGCTGTGCTCGGCTCTCCCTGACTGTGTATTACCTTTCCTTCACCCATCTTAACACATGTCTACTTACCTAGTGATTTTTTTCTCCTCCCTCCTCCCATCCCTAGTAACCATCAGAGAGTGTTTCTTTTTGTGCTTAAACTTTTGCTTTTTATCAGAAGAGTCTCATACAAGATTTGGCCTTTCATGATTGATTTACTTCAGCCAGCATTTGTCCTCCAGGTTCATCCATGTTGTAAGATGCTTCATGAATTTGCGTTATTCTTTAGAGTTGCATGGTATTCTGGTACAGATCTGTACCATCATTTGTTTATCCCTTCATCCACTGGTGGATACTTAGGTTATTTCTGTCTTTTTGCTACTGTAACTAATGCTTTGATAACATGAGTGTGCATATATTTTTTCACGGCTCTTATTTCTCTAGTTCCCAATACTGGGATTGCTGGTTCACACCAGTGTCTTTCTGTCTGTCGTTCCTATGCTTTGCTTTCTGCTGTCAGGAAGCTACATCAGTGGAAAAGGAGAGTTCCTTGAAATACATGTTGGGTGAGGTGTGTGGGATGCTTGGGGGAGGGAGTGGATACACTGGTGTGAGTCTCACACACACACACACACACACACACACACACACACACTCTCACTCTCTCTCTTGAACGCTGCTCACCAAGGCCTCTGTTGGTTCCGAGGAGATTTGTTTTCTTCTCCTTGGGGTTTTATTTACTTTTTAATCAGGTAGATAAAATATGCATACATACACACCGACATATCTTCCTCTCTCAAATTCCTGGGTGGGGGGGGGTAAAGCAAATGTTGAAATTGTGGCAAATATGTTAGAACTATCAAAAAGTATACAAATTGTGGGAATCATGAAACAGGCGTCATGGTTCTATTTGCTCTTTGACAGCATCAAAATGGTGAACACTTTTTAATCAAGATTAAAAAAATACAAACTTGGCATCATCCCTGTCATTTTAGTCATGCTTTGCCTATGACATGGCATTTCTAAATTTCATGGGGGGAATCATGGTCCTTGAACTTGAGATGCTTATACTCTGAATAGTGAAGTCCAAGAAAAATGGATAAAGCCCACCATATCATGAATCCCCTCTAAGAAAACTTGTCAGATGAGCTTCATCATTCTTATCCAAGAAACTTTTAAATAAGAATAGTAGAACCGTACAGAGCTTTGGTGGCTGAGTGGTAAGGAGTTGCACTACCAGCCCAAAGGCCCACAGTTCAAATCTACCAGCTGCTCTGCTTGAGAAAGATGGGTAGTCTCCTCTCATGTGATGTCTTGCCTTTGAAAACCTTCTGGAGGGTCAGGTTCTGACTCAATGGTGCATAACAACAGTAGAACCATGGACTCACTGGGCAGTGCAGTCAGTTAACAGTCCACTGCTAGCTGAAAGTATGACTGTGGGAGGCAGTTTGAGTCCAGCCAAGAGGTACCTTGGAAGAAAAGTCTAATGGTCTACTTCTAAAAAACCAGCTCTTGACCTCTCTGACACATGTGGGATAGACATGAGTTGGAATCAACAACAATTGGCTAATTAAAAAGATTTAACTCATTGCCCTCAAGCCAGAACAGACTCAATTGACCCTCCAGTGGGCTTTTGAGGTTGTGGCTGTAAATCACATGGGAGGAGATGGCTTATCTTACCTTTCCCCTGGGAGCCACTGCTGGAGGGTGCTCCCCCCCCCTGTTTCCCTACGGACTAAGCTGATAAGACCATTAAAAAAACAAAGCAAAAAACCCTGAAAGCAGTTGCCACCAAGTAGATCCTGAGTCATGGCCACCCAGCGAGTGTCAGGGCAGAGCTGCGCTTCACAAAGTAGGTCACCATCCTTCTGAAATTGGACTTGGAAGCATTCCTTTTAAAAAAATTTTTTATTGTTATTCTTTAGGATTATAAAACATACTTTTGTTTTTAAAAAAACTCGACATTTTAAGATAATATGTTGTAGGCAATGAAATTGTCTAAGCCTCCCTCAATTGATTTGGAATGTATTTTCCCAGCTTCTTTATTTTAAATTTGCTAGTAGCACTTAACAGGGCCAACTTCTGACTATAGGATGCCAGCAGAGCTCCCTTCATACACCAAAGCTATTCTCTTTTTAAGCATGCTGCTACAACTTGCCTTTTTCACATAACAATGTAGCTTTGACATCTTTCCCTGCCAATAGCTGATCTGCCTAATTCTTTTCAACTCTAGAGCTCTATTTCGTCGTTAGCCAGTTCTTTATGCAATACAGATGCACCATAATTTATTTAAACAGTTTCCCACTAATGGACATTTGGGTTGGTTTCCAGTTTTTCTGATTTATTAATGATGCTGAAGTGAATGTTCCTGTATGTATGTTTCTATAAGAGAAATTCTTGGAAGTGAAATTGACACAGGATCAGCATGCTTTAAATTTTAATCTGTACTGTCAGTGGTCTTCTGAAAAGGTCATGTGCAGATACAATCTTACCAGCCTGTTTGAAAGTGCCTTTTTCTCCATACCCTCCCCAATGCCATGTCACCAGTGTTTTAACCCTTTGCTAGTTGACCTGATGAAAATAAGACAAGAAGACTTTCTGTTATTTTTCAATCATTATTGAAATAGAGTGTCTTCTTACCTCTGTGATGGTTATTTGTATTTCTTCTTTGAATTGTTTCTTTGTGCCATTTGCCCATTTCCCCCATAAGATTGTTTAATCTTCTTTTCTTTTCAGTTGTAACTGATTTGTAAGAATCAGTTTTCCACATACAAAGAATCTAGTTTTTCTTTTGAGAGAGGAAGTGGCTTTTGGCCCGGAGTTGTTTTTTTTCCCCATTTTCAGTGATTTTTTTTTTTGGGGCCCGGAGTTTTTAAGCCTCCAGGTTATTCTTTTTTTTAATTATTTGTGTGTGTGTGTGTTTACCATCAAATCGGATCTGAGTGGTACAGGAGGAGATTGCCCCTCCTTCTCTAGCAGAGCATCGTGTGGATTCGAACCACATTCCAGGTGATTCTTAAGGAGCCCTGTTGTTGTTAGGAGACATTGAGTTGCATGCGACTCATAGTGACCCAATGAACAGCAGATCTGAACCATGTCCTGTCCTGCTCCATTCTTATAACGTACTTGGACCCACTGGCATAGTCACTGTATCCATCCA